GAAGGACGACTTTGCGTTTTTATTGAATTCTGTTTTCGTTGTTACTATTGTTGCTGTTTTTTTTTGTTTTATTTTATGAAGTACACATTAAATACTTTGACAAATTTCAGCAATTTCGCTTGTTTTGCTTTTTTTATTATTTTTATTTCTTTGCTTTCTTGTTGCTTCGGCTTTTGTCATTCAAAAGAAAATTGAAAAAACATGTCTCTTCATCATTGAAAATTTGCTTACGATTTTAATCAGCTGGAAACTTTGATGGAATACAAACGCACACATGCGCACAAACACACACATATATGTGTTTATATATATATATATATATATAACAGATTTGCTTGCAAATCGCAGAAACTTAACGTGTGTGTTCGTAAGTATTCAACGCATTAAATATATATATATACATATATATATATATATATATATATAAATATGTATGAAATAAAAGGTTGAAGATTTGAGTATTTGAGCGTAATAATATCGATGCAAACAAATCAACTGTTAATAGAAAAGCACATAAACGCACATGCACGCTCACATAAACGCATACGTTGGCTATATCCATACGGTACACATGTCTTGCACAATGTACGTTTTCAGCATGTTGCTTCGCAATAACGTTTATTCGTTTGTTCGTTCGTTCTTTCAAGCGTTCACCATCAACGACTCGTTTAGGCTGGCAGTGGTGGGTGATGGTCTATGATATATATATATTTTTTTCCCATTTTAACCCATTGTTACGAATGGTTAGAGTCGGGGTGTTGTAACGTCTGGTAAGCTTGTATGCTTGGTTGACTACTTTTAAATTCGTTGCTCGTCTAAGTCGTTAGTCAGTCTGTTCGTTTCTATTTGTACGATTCTCTTCACCCTTTTCCGTTTATTATTATTATTACTGTTATGTTGGTTTTGTTGTTATTCTCGTTGTAGAGTTTGCTTTACTTCGCTTTTTTTACCCTGACATGGACGTGTGTTTGTTGATTGAAACAACATCAAAAGCTGTTGCTACAGCACGTGAATAGCTATGTATATACATACGCACATATGAACGTATGTCTATATGTTGTAATAAGGAAAACACCCATACACATTATATTAATATATATATATATATATATATATATATATATATATATATATGAATATAAGCATATATGTGTACATCTATTTTGTTCTTTATTTTTAATAAAGAAAAAAGAAAAACCTCAAGGTCTGCGGACTTTTTTTCTTTTTTTTTTTTTACTACCCCGACCATATCCGGCATGGCGTGGATAATCTTTAAATAGTTGAAAGATTTTAATAAATCTTTTAAATAGATTTTAGTGAAAATAGATGTGCACGGTCGCACGATCTTCTGCCAATTTTAATCCTTTTTGTTCCATATAGCTGCAGCTTCAATATTCTTCAATATTATTTCGCTGGGAAAGAAGAGAAGATGTCTCTTGACCTAAAGCTTTTGCTTTGCGTAGTACACACAATTTATAACTAAAATTTAAAAGTTTTAAAGACAAAGTTAGACAAAGCTTTTCGTTTACAGCTTGAGCTTAATAGAAAATATTTAAAATGTTATGCGGATCGTCTTGAAAGGACGTCGCAACATACAATATATTCGAAGTTTAGCAACATCTTTTGCGTAAAAGTAAAAAAGATCAATGGACAATTTGTATAATCAAATAGAATAAATCTTTCTTAGAATTTGTTCGGAACAGGAGATGGATGACCTCCTTTCTTAACTTCTTCTCAATTTTTCCTGCCGAGCTTCAATATAGAATTAAAATGCGCTATCCTATAGCGGAAAAGTAGGTGGGCCCGTTGCAGCTAAAATTTAAAGTGTACAATTGCGGTGATGCCCGTTTCAGAGAAGACTATGTTGTCCAAAACGCACTTAGGCGAGAGACTCAGGTAGTAAGTAACCCGGTGTTTATTTTTCAAGTTACCGTAATTACGTACGAGTTTAAATATGCTTAAGAACCTTAAAAACTTTCACCGGGTGGTTATGTTGCTAAGGTATCGGCTCAAGTCGAGTGTTATATCCTTTGTCTTCTATACTTTAAAACGCTTTAAGCACATATTCAATAGGTGGTATGTAAAATACGTTGGCGTACCTGAAACAAAGTTATATCTAAAGGCAAGAATTTTTTACTCCCTTATCAGGTGAGCACTCGCTGTAGCTATAATCAAAGTAACTCTTCATCGGACTTGAAGTTTGAATCTGCGAAAACTGTCTTCGTGCTTACGTTTCTTACCTAAATCGTGAGTCTGAAGCTTAATCTTTCTGCTTTAATACAGTAGCGTGCATCCAGTCTTAGTTGGTCTAAAACAATTTTGACCTTAAATGTCAGAACGGAGAAGAAATTTAGGCATAACTTAAACAAAACGTGAATTCATTAATTTCGTAATTTTTTTTCTTTTTTCCACTATTCATTCCAGGATTCAAGTTTAATCAATATTCAGTTCTAGCGTTGAAATGTAATACAGGCAAAGTAGGGAAGCCTTCTAATCGCCTTGTAGGGAATATTATGTGTCTAAGGTAATGTGTGACGCTTACGTGTTTAAGATAAAGGTAAAAAAGTATTGCAGACTTTATCAGATGAGAACGTGTAAGTCATTTAAAGAAGAAGAATGATTTTGGAGCATTGGAGAGATGATCGAATCGACATTTATATCATATTTCTTTCCCGAGTTTCGTGACCATGAAAGACGGAGCTTGAAAGCAATTTTGAAAACAATGCTCATCAATATACGTTACTTCCGTGCTAGCCTACTGACAATAGGCATATTATAATAGGATAATGTGACAAATACGGTATACGGTATTTTCCATATTTCATATGTAGGTTGCGCTTAGTTTTTAGACGCATAGATGAATAAGAAAAGTTTTCATATTAAGCATTCTACATATTTTCATACAACATGAAATTAAAAAGGAAAAGATTTTTCTAACGAAATTTTTGCATTGCACTGCAAACTATTTAATTTTGCAAAAAGTGTTGAGATGTACGGGGTAAGATGACCTAGAATGTGACACATGTCAGAGGCATAAATTTCCATAACAAACCTTTTCGTGATGCAAGTGCTTAATTAATGCTTAGAGAGAAAGCAACAACGATAACCGAAACGAAACTAAGCTAAGCAATACGATTTTGAAAAGTATGCAAAGCGTTCACATTTATCGTATGGCAATGTTATATATGAGAAGCTATTGCCACCGCCTTTAGGCTGTCGCTGCAACTTTTTTGCATATGTATGTGTGTACGGCATGTATGTATACAGACACTTAAGTATTAAGCCAGACATTATGGCATATTTGTACTCGTATGATTATCCTTATATTATATGTATATATGTATATACGTATATATACAATTTTTACAACATTCATTCAATTCATTCACTCGTATGTAGACATGATGCTCAAAAGTGGTAGTTAGGGAGAAGGACGATTACCATTTTTAGGGTTTTTTTTTTTTTTTTGTATAGGCTTGTTTGTGCCTCTTACACCCGCTGCTTAACTTCTACAAAATTCTTTATGAGCAGTTGATTTAAATTAATGCTTAAAATTTTTTTCCATTTAGCTTTTCACTAACAACGCATTTTAAACAGGCGCACACCCACAGACATACATCTATATATATATATATATATATATTTTTTTTTTTTAATATATTTATATGTATATGTATATACATATGTATAAGTATACATCTATACATGTATAAATATATATATATACATATGTACAACAAGAGAAACGGCAACATTTTTATGTGCGGTATAATGTATCTTTCTGAGCTCCTTTCTCGCTCTTAGCTGCCAACTACAACAACATATACATACGTAAATACTTTTATAACCAGAACTCAATATGACTTTTGCATCCGTTGTCGCAACGCACAACATCATATACCGCACAACTCGACCAAAATGGAAACGTACACAACAACAGAAAAAAGCAGAAAAAAAAAAGTAAGAAAAAAATAAAATAAAAAAAAAAAATAAGAAAAAAGAAAAATAATAATAAAATAAAAAAAAAAAAAAAACGAAGGAAAATGAATAAAAAACATGGGCTGTTGAGTTGTTCATGTTGCATGTTGCTGTATTTAAAGCATAATGTGCCGAGGGATCGAAAGTCTGAGCAACGGAGAGAATACAGACAGACAATGAATGTGTAACGTTGTCGTCTTTTGTGATATGTTGGGATGTTGCTTCTCGAGACTGCAATAGCTACTACTGCAATGCGACAGTTTTATTTTTTTTATTTTTCCTGATATTTTTCAGGCTGTTTTACAGCCCTTTAGCAACAAAATATCTACGTTGTAATGTGAATATAGGAAAGAGTTTATCTTTACTCATAGCTAGTCTGTACAGAGAGTCTCTCATGGCAATGCATCCATTGCCATATAGTTCAACCGAACCAACTATTTAACTCATACTTGTAATTAAAGCAATAAACGGCTGGGGGGCAAGAGAAGAATGCCAAGAAAGGGGAAATAACATAAAATATTTGTGAATGGTTTTTGCTTTTTTTGCCTGCTTTTGCTGCTAATTCAACATGTTTCCTACTTGTTGGAATTTATATGCTTCAGTTTTTCTCTTTTCAATATGATTTCGCCTTTAATGTATAACCTTAACACACGTTTAGCGTTGGGTTTTATACGTTTAGGCTTTTAGCTTAAATAGTTTCGTTGCCTGCTGACATGTAGAAAATCCACTAATACCATTAGCGATTCCTTTCATCTGTTCATATAGGCGTATATGCATAGTTGTGTAAGTGTGTAAGAATATAGACGGATGTGGTTTTAGTTTACTAGTTTTCGTGAAGTCTATTAGGAAATTCGAAAAGGAAAACGAAGAGGAAGAATGTTGATGCATAAGAAACTACTAAAACATAAGAAATGAATATTTTTTTCGCTTAGCAAGCGATGAAAATTCATATTTATATGATACTGTGTCGTTCTGAAATTCATATCAAAAATTGTCTCGTTTTTCAATTCACTTTTTTATAGGTTATGGTCACGACGTTTCATCTTTACATTACACTGCGTACCTGCCCCGCTTGGAGAACGAAGTAACCGTGATAACCAGTACATCCAGCATGCAACAGCATCCAACACACTTTACTAGTTATCACAATACCGCAACACCTTCCTCTCCTTTAAACAATCACAGCGTTAACCACAACATCAATAACAATAGCAGCAACAGTAGTACGCAATCGCCTTCTTCGTCGCCTCATTCAAGTCGTAGTAGCTTTACAAATGAACGTCTTAGTCCGCCCATAATACGCATTAAATCCGAACATAGCTTAGGGGATGATGTCGATTCGAATGGCAGTAATGGCAGTAGCACAGAGACGCGTAAATGCTACAGCAGCACGGGGGCGGCTTTATCACTGCCCCCGAAGAAGAAAGATATCTACCGGCCATATTCTTTGGACGACAGACCCAGCATTGAGCGAGTAAGGTTGCGTGTGCCTGCAGAAGAAGATTTGCATGCAGCACATGCCATACTGGATTTGAGTGCTTCTACCGCTTTTCATCCGCCCACGCAACCACATCAATTACATCAGACACACCAGCACCATATCACCGCCACAAACTCTAGCGCCTCGCATCATCAGCCTTTACATAACTTGCATCACATAACGCATGCCATCCAATTGCAGCAACAACAACCACAACCACAACCACACCATCAATTACAAAAAACCTCTATAATAGTACAACAACAGCAACCGTTAACACAACACAATAGTCCATCTATAGCGGACTTGGCGGCTGCAGCTAGCGTTGCCAACGAACAACGTCCAAAATCAAATTGCTCGCAGCACAGCTTGCAAAGCAATTCGGATTCGGAAAGACATCCGAGCTCACCAACTAGCATGGTACAAAATGAGAATAACAACACAACTAATCAATTTCCCAAAACCGTTGCCACTGGCACCAAGACCGTGGCCTATACCTATGAAGCTTTCTTTGTTAGCGACGGCCGTTCGAAGCGCAAGAATATTACTGATCCGGCTGTCGCCATGCAACAAGAACAGCAAAAGGCCAAATATACATGTAGTGAATGCGGTAAACAATATGCGACTTCTAGTAATCTATCACGTCACAAACAGACTCATCGCTCACTCGACTCGCAGTCAGCTAAAAAGTGTCATACTTGTGGTAAGGCGTACGTATCAATGCCCGCCTTAGCCATGCATGTATTGACACATAAACTATCGCATAGCTGCGGAGTATGTGGCAAACTTTTCTCTCGTCCATGGTTATTGCAAGGTCATTTACGTTCTCATACAGGTGAGAAACCTTACGGTTGCGCTCATTGCGGCAAAGCATTTGCTGATCGTTCGAATTTGCGTGCCCATATGCAAACTCATTCCGTTGATAAGAATTTCGAGTGTAAACGCTGTCACAAAACCTTCGCTTTAAAATCGTACCTCAACAAACATTTGGAGTCGGCTTGTCTAAAAGATGAGGCGGATATGCAATTCGATACCAGTACCAGTGATAGCGGCGGCATGACTTCACCTACACCTACAGAAGATTATAACCCTCCCAACTATGCAACGCAAGCACAAAACGTATTGAAAATCTCGCATATACCACAACCAGTACCGGCAGCAGCTATTGTCAAGGTAGAGGCTACCTTTGCGGGTTGAGAGTATTTTCAACACGCTACTCTTTTTGTAAGTAAGTAACAATAATTGATGTAATATTAGCAGTATAATAATAAAGCAGCATAACAATAATAACAACAATATATTAACAAGTGGAAAAAGACGAGAACACACACAAAAGAAAATAAAAACAAAAATAAGAATAATCAATGCGAAAAAGATTACGATTTTGAGTTTTTTCATGCAAAAAAACAATTGACAATATGTGTGTACATAAAGAGTTTTTCATTTCATTACTCGTAACAACATAATTTCATTAAACATATTTCTATCAAAAGAAAAAATAGCAATAAATAAAAGATTTTCTCTTTAGTTTTATTTATCTAGTAATAATTTGTAATTTAATTTCAATAATCAACAACAACATCATAATACGTCCATTACATACTAAAAAAAAAAGGAAATAAAAAAAAAAAAAAAACCAAAACAAAAGAAACCAAAAATGAGGAAAAAGAAAGATGAAAATTTAGAAAAAAAAAAGAAAATCTTCTAGAATGTTACACTTTAGTGAAAGCAATCTTAAAATTACACAACAAACAACACAAAGCAATCTCTTAGGATCTCTTTTAAAGTAGTAAATATAAGCTAATGTGTAGTTTCCCGTTTCTAGTCACAAGCACATAAGTATTCATAAACACATACACACACACTCGCTCATACTCATTCTTTTTACATGTCACTCTCTCTCTCTCTCTCTCTCTCTCTTCTTCTTCTTCTTCTCAATCATTTTCTCTCTCTCTCTCTCTCTCTCTCTCTCTCTCTCTCTCTCTCTCTCTCGCTCTCTC